GACCCAGTGTATGACCCAGTGTATGACCCACAGTGTATGACCCAGTGTATGACCCACAGTGTATGACCCAGTGTATGACCCAGTGTATGACCCAGTGTATGACCCAGTGTATGACCCAGTGTATGACCCAGTGTATGACCCAGTGTATGACCCGTGTATGACCCACCTCACGGCCTGGAGTAGATGTGTGGGTGTCAGTGTATGACCCAGTGTATGACCCACAGTGTATGACCCACAGTGTATGACCCACAGTGTATTACCCAGTGTATGACCCACAGTGTATGACCCAGTGTATGACCCACAGTGTATGACCCAGTGTATGACCCAGTGTATGACCCACAGTGTATGACCCACAGTGTATGACCCACAGTGTATGACCCAGTGTATGACCCAGTATATGACCCAGTGTATGACCCACTGTATGACCCACTGTATGACCCAGTGTATGACCCAGTGTATGACCCACTGTATGACCCAGTATATGACCCAGTGTATGACCCACTGTATGACCCACTGTATGACCCAGTGTATGACCGACTGTATGACCCAGTGTATGACCCAGTGTATGACCCAGTGTATGACCCAGTGTATGACCCACAGTGTATGACCCAGTGTATGACCCACTGTATGACCCAGTATATGACCCAGTGTATGACCCACTGTATGATCCAGTATATGACCCAGTGTATGACCCACTGTATGACCCAGTATATGACCCAGTGTATGACCCACTGTATTACCCAGTGTATGACCCAGTGTATAACTCAGTGTATGACCCAGTGTATGACCCAGTGTATGACCCAGTGTATGACCCAGTGTATGACCCAGTGTATGACCCAGTGTATGACCCACAGTTTATGACCCACTGTATGACCCAGTGTATGACCCAGTGTCTGACCCACTGTATGACCCAGTGTATGACCCACAGTGTATGACCCAGTGTATGACCCAGTGTATGACCCAGTGTATGACCCAATGTATGACCCAGTGTATGACCCAGTATGACCCACTGTATGACCCACTGTATGACCGAGTGTATTACCCAGTGTATGACCCAGTGTATGACCCAGTGTATGACCCACTGTATGACCCACTGTATGACCCAGTGTATGACCCACTGTATGACCCAGTGTATGACCCAGTGTATGACCCAGTGTATGACCAACTGTATGACCCAGTGTATGACCCAGTGTATGACCCACTGTATGACCCAGTGTATGACCCAGTGTATGACCCAGTGTATGACCCAGTGTATGACCCAGTGTATGACCCAGTGTATGACCCACTGTATGACACAGTGTATGACCCACTGTATGACCCAGTGTATGACCCAGTGTATGACCCAGTGTATGACCCAGTGTATGACCCACTGTATGACCCAGTGTATGACCCAGTGTATGACCCACTGCATGACCCAGTGTATGACCCAGTGTATGACCCACTGTTTGACCCAGTGTATGACCCAGTGTATGACCCAGTGTATGACCCACTGTTTGACCCAGTGTATGACCCAGTGTATGACCCAGTATATGACCCAGTGTATGACCCAGTGTATGACCCAGTGTATGACCCAGTGTATGACCCACTTTATGCCCCAGTGTATGACCCAGTGTGACCCAGTGTATGACCCAGTGTATGACCCAGTGTATGACCCAGTGTATGACCCAGTGTATGACCCACTGTATGACCCAGTGTATGACCCAGTGTATGACCCAGTGTATGACCCAGTGTATGACCCACTGTATGACCCAGTGTATGACCCAGTGTATGACCCAGTGTATGACCCAGTGTATGACCCACTGTATGCCCCAGTGTATGACCCAGTGTGACCCAGTGTATGACCCAGTGTATGACCCAGTGTATGACCCAGTGTATGACCCAGTGTATGACCCACTGTATTACCCAGTGTATGACCCAGTGTATGACCCAGTGTATGACCCAGTGTATGACCCAGTGTATGACCCAGTGTATGACCCAGTGTATGACCCAGTGTATGACCCATTGTATGACCCAGTGTATGACCCAGTGTATGACCCAGTGTATGACCCACAGTGTATGACCCACAGTGTATGACCCACAGTGTATGACCCACAGTGTATGATCCAGTATATGACCCAATGTATGACCCACAGTGTATGGCCCACAGTGTATGACCCAGTGTATGACCCAGTGTATGACCCACAGTGTATAACCCAGTGTATGACCCACAGTGTATGACCCACTGTATGACCCAGTGTATGACCCACAGTGTATGACCCACAGTGTATGACCCACTGTATGACCCAGTGTATGACCCAGTGTATGACCCAGTGTATGACCCAGTGTATGACCCAGTGTATGACCCAGTGTATGACCCACAGTGTATGACCCACAGTGTATGACCCACAGTGTATGACCCACAGTGTATGACCCACAGTGTATGACCCACAGTGTATGACCCAGTGTGACCCAGTGTATGACCCAGTGTATGACCCAGTGTATGACCCAGTGTATGACCCACAGTGTATGACCCACAGTGTATGACCCACAGTGTATGACCCACAGTGTATGACCCAGTGTGACCCAGTGTATGACCCAGTGTATGACCCAGTGTATGACCCAGTGTATGACCCAGTGTATGACCCAGTGTATGACCCACAGTGTATGACCCACTGTATGACCCACTGTATGACACAGTGTATGACACAGTGTATGACCCAGTGTATGACCCAGTGTATGACCCACTGTATGACCCACTGTATGACCCAGTGTATGACCCACTGTATGACCCAGTGTATGACCCAGTGTATGACCCAGTGTATAACCCAGTGTATGACCCACTGTATGACCCAGTGTATGACCCAGTGTATGACCCAGTGTATGACCCAGTGTATGACCCAGTGTATGACCCAGTGTATGACCCAGTGTATGACCCAGTGTATGACCCAGTGTATGACCCAGTGTATGACCCAGTGTATGCTCCAGTGTATGACCCAGTGTATGACCCACTGTATGACCCAGTGTATGACCCAGTGTATGACCCAGTGTATGACCCAGTGTATGACCCAGTGTATGACCCAGTGTATGACCCACTGTATGACCCAGTGTATGACCCACTGTATGACCCAGTGTATGACCCAGTGTATGACCCAGTGTATGACCCAGTGTATGACCCACTGTATGACCCAGTGTATGACCCAGTGTATGACCCACTGCATGACCCAGTGTATGACCCAGTGTATGACCCACTGTTTGACCCAGTGTATGACCCAGTGTATGACCCAGTATATGACCCACTGTATGACCCAGTGTATGACCTACCTGACGGCCTGGAGTAGATGTGTGGGTGTCAGTGTATGACCCAGTGTATGACCCAGTGTATGACCCACTGTATGACCCACTGTATGACCCAGTGTATGACCCAGTGTATGACCCAGTGTATGACCCAGTGTATGACCCAGTGTATGACCCACTGTATGACCCAGTGTATGACCCAGTGTATGACCCAGTGTATGACCCAGTGTATGACCCAGTGTATGACCCAGTGTATGACCCACTGTATGACCCAGTGTATGACCCAGTGTATGACCCAGTGTATGACCCAGTGTATGACCCAGTGTATGACCCAGTGTATGACCCAGTGTATGACCCACTTTATGCCCCAGTGTATGACCCAGTGTGACCCAGTGTATGACCCAGTGTATGACCCAGTGTATGACCCAGTGTATGACCCAGTGTATGACCCACTGTATGACCCAGTGTATGACCCAGTGTATGACCCAGTGTATGACCCAGTGTATGACCCACTGTATGACCCAGTGTATGACCCAGTGTATGACCCAGTGTATGACCCAGTGTATGACCCACTGTATGCCCCAGTGTATGACCCAGTGTGACCCAGTGTATGACCCAGTGTATGACCCAGTGTATGACCCAGTGTATGACCCAGTGTATGACCCACTGTATTACCCAGTGTATGACCCAGTGTATGACCCAGTGTATGACCCAGTGTATGACCCAGTGTATGACCCAGTGTATGACCCAGTGTATGACCCACAGTGTATAACCCAGTGTATGACCCACAGTGTATGACCCACTGTATGACCCAGTGTATGACCCACAGTGTATGACCCACAGTGTATGACCCAGTGTATGACCCAGTGTATGACCCAGTGTATGACCCAGTGTATGACCCAGTGTATGACCCAGTGTATGACCCAGTGTATGACCCAGTTTATGACCCACAGTGTATGACCCACAGTGTATGACCCACAGTGTATGACCCACAGTGTATGACCCACAGTGTATGACCCACAGTGTATGACCCAGTGTGACCCAGTGTATGACCCAGTGTATGACCCAGTGTATGACCCAGTGTATGACCCACAGTGTATGACCCACAGTGTATGACCCACAGTGTATGACCCACAGTGTATGACCCAGTGTGACCCAGTGTATGACCCAGTGTATGACCCAGTGTATGACCCAGTGTATGACCCAGTGTATGACCCAGTGTATGACCCACAGTGTATGACCCACTGTATGACCCACTGTATGACACAGTGTATGACACAGTGTATGACCCAGTGTATGACCCAGTGTATGACCCACTGTATGACCCACTGTATGACCCAGTGTATGACCCAGTGTATGACCCAGTGTATGACCCAGTGTATGACCCAGTGTATGACCCAGTGTATGACCCACTGTATGACCCAGTGTATGACCCAGTGTATGACCCAGTGTATGACCCAGTGTATTCCCCAGTGTATGACCCAGTGTATGACCCAGTGTATGACCCAGTGTATGACCCAGTGTATGACCCAGTGTATGACCCAGTGTATGACCCAGTGTATGACCCAGTGTATGACCCAGTGTATGACCCAGTGTATGACCCAGTGTATGACCCAGTGTATGACCCAGTGTATGACCTAGTGTATGACCCAGTGTATGACCCAGTGTATGACCCAGTGTATGACCCAGTGTATGACCCAGTATATGACCCACAGTGTATGACCCACCTGACGGCCTGGAGTAGATGTGTGGATGCCAGAGTCGCAGGATTTTGTCGATGCCACCTGTGGCGATGATGTTTGCACGTGCACAGTAGTCGAAACAGTTGACCCCATTCCTGATGGAAGCAACCTTGGGCTCGCTGTGGACATGAGACAGATCAGGGGTCAGGACACGTCAGAGGGCACGTGACAGGACACGTCAGAGGACACATGACCAGACACGTCAGAGGACACGTGACAGGACACGTCAGAGGACACGCGACTTAAAGTCAGAGGACACGCGATTTCACGTGAGAGTAGCTCATACACTAATCAAAGAGATAACCAGCCCTCACATCAATTGAAACTCGAGACGTCAACTCTACTCACTCTTTACTGAAGAAGATTCGGTCCACCTTCTCCAGGAGAAAAGAACTCCGACTGCTTTGGCTGCAGGAAGCAAAACATTTCAGCTTGGGGAAATATTTTACCTGGGGACAAAATAAATTTAAGTTTGGGGAAATATTTTACCTGTGGACAAAATACATTTCAGTTAGGGGAAATATTTTACCTTGGGGACAGAAAATACCTGGATGACATTACACTGACATTTTGTGCTCACCTGGATGACACTACACTGACATTTATTGCTCACCTGGATGACATTACACTGACATTTTGTGCTCACCTGGATGACAGCACTTGAGTGAAGTTTCCTCCTGATGATTGGCCTAAGATAGAAATCAAACGACTGAGATGTGCACGTGAAGAATTTGCTTTGGTCATACTTTTTAAAATTTCAACTTGCTGAGATCGTACACAATACTTCGGGGAATTGTTTCACACGAAAACTTAAAAAAATGATCGCTTATCAGACTTACTTTGTTAACTTATCGGGGTCATGACCTTATCAGACTTACTGTGTTAACTTATCGGGGTCATGACCTTATCCGACTTACTGTGTTAACTTATCGGGGTCATGACCTTATCAGACTTACTGTTAACTTATCGGGGTCATGACCTTATCAGACTTACTGTGTTAACTTATCGGGGTCATGACCTTATCCGACTTACTGTGTTAACTTATAGGGGTCATGACCTTATCAGACTTACTGTGTTAACTTATAGGGGTCATGACCTTATCAGACTTACTGTGTTAGCTTATAGGGGTCATGACCTTATCAGACTTACTGTGTTAACTTATAGGGGTCATGACCTTATCAGACTTACTGTGTTAGCTTATAGGGGTCATGACCTTATCAGACTTACTGTGTTAACTTATAGGGGTCATGACCTTATCAGACTTACTGTGTTAACTTATCGGGGTCATGACCTTATCAGACTTACTGTGTTAACTTATCGGGGTCATGACCTTATCCGACTTACTGTGTTAACTTATAGGGGTCATGACCTTATCAGACTTACTGTGTTAACTTATAGGGGTCATGACCTTATCAGACTTACTGTGTTAGCTTATAGGGGTCATGACCTTATCAGACTTACTGTGTTAACTTATAGGGGTCATGACCTTATCAGACTTACTGTGTTAGCTTATAGGGGTCATGACCTTATCAGACTTACTGTGTTAACTTATAGGGGTCATGACCTTATCAGACTTACTGTGTTAACTTATCGGGGTCAATGATATGACCTTGACCCTCCGCTGTGGGTCTGGTGTCTCTCTTGGAATGTTTGACGGCCAGGTCTTGCACGTGCACGGTGAGCAGGTTGACGTAACCCTGGTCGTCCCCGAACAGCACACAGTCCCCTGCCAGCCCGGGGGGTGCGGGGATGGCGGACACACACTGGGGCGAGTCTTCGATTGGCTTGATGGTCATCAGGCACTGTCGGTCAGAGATGACAGTGACATTAGGCACTGTCGGTCAGAGATGACAGTGACATTAGGCACTGTCGGTCAGAGATGGCAGTGACACCTGTGCGTGGACCAACCTCTATGGACCTACCTGTGTGGACCTACCTGAGAGTGGACCTACCTGTGTGGACCTACCTGTGTGGACCTACCTGTGTGGACCTACCTTTGTGTGGACCTACCTGTGTGGACCTACCTGTGTGGACCTACCTGTGTGGACCTACCTGTGTGGACCTACCTGTGTGTGGACCTACCTGTGTGGACCTACCTGAGAGTGGACCTACCTGTGTGGACCTACCTGTGTTGACCTACCTATGTGGACCTACCTGTGTGGACCTACCTATGTGTACCTACCTATGTGGACCTACCTGTGTAGACCTACCTGTGTGGACCTACCTGTGTGGGCCTACCAGTGTGGACCTACCTATGTGGACCTACCTGTGTAGACCTACCTGTGTGGACCTACCTGTGTGGGCCTACCTGTGTGGACCTACCTGTGTGGGCCTACCTGTGTGGTCCTACCTGTGTGGACCTACCTGTGTGGGCCTACCTGTGTGGACCTACCTGTGTGGACCTACCTATGTGGACCTACCTATGTGGACCTACCTGTGCGGTGCCATTGGCCCGATTGTCCCAGAGAGCGATGCTACGCTCCGTGCAACACACGACCCGTCTGAGACCAGGCAGGTAGTCGCAGCCAGTTGACCACGCGGATTCCTGCAAGACACAGAACTCAGGTCAGTGCTAGCTGAAACAAGTACCTGGCTGTCTACAGGTCCAAGTTCCAGAACAATGTGGGACCACGGTCAGGTGTCGGTAGGTACAATGACACGGTGAGTAAATAGATAAATGTCAATAGGGCGAGGGAGAAGGTTTTTAAATTATTCTGGAATATTTCTCATTTTCTGTGCAGAGATTATTTTTTAAAGTTTTACAATACACTGGGTGACCTGCTATCCGCTGGATTTTTTTAGAAGAGCACACAAAAACACCGGACGCAACACTTGCAACACAAAACATACCCACTTCCCAAAACCCCAACACCCAACTACAAATGCCCTCTTCATATTGTTAGTTAGTGACACTATAATACTTACATGGATATCAATGCAAGTTTGAAGCTTCAGCTGAAAAGAAACAGTTATTCAGCTGTAAATGAAGTCACCTAACGCTTTTTTTAAATACCTTTTTTTTCCTTAATGGTTATTGTTTGAGCAAATGCCCCCTCCCCCCCCCCCCCGGTTAACAGATGAATAGGCCTAATGTAGGCCTACCTGTAATCATTAGCTAACAGATGACTGGGCCTACTGTAGGCCTACCTGTAATAATTAGCTAACAGATGACTGGGCCTACCTGTAATAATTAGCTAACAGATGACTGGGCCTACTGTAGGCCTACCTGTAATAATTAGCTAACAGATGACTGGGCCTACTGTAGGCCTACCTGTAATAGCTAACAGATGAATGGGCCTACTGTATGCCTACCTGTAATAATTAGCTAACAGATGACTGGGCCTACCTGTAATAATTAGCTAACAGATGACTGGGCCTACTGTAGGCCTACATGTAATAGCTAACAGATGACTGGGCCTACTGTAGGCCTACCTGTAATAATTAGCTAATAGATGACTGGGCCTACTGTAGGCCTACCTGTAATAATTAGCTAACAGATGACTGGGCCTACTGTAGGCCTACCTGTAATAATTAGCTAACAGATGACTGGGCCTACTGTAGGCCTACCTGTAATAATTAGCTAACAGATGACTGGGCCTACTTTAGGCCTACATGTAATAGCTAACAGATGACTGGGCCTACTGTAGGTCTACCTGTAATAATTAGTTAACAGATGAATGGGCCTACTGTAGGCCTACATGTAATAGCTAACAGATGACTGGGCCTACTTTAGGCCTACATGTAATAGCTAACAGATGACTGGGCCTACTGTAGGTCTACCTGTAATAATTAGCTAACAGATGACTGGGCCTACTGTAGGCCTACCTGTAATAGCTAACAGATGAATGGGCCTACTGTATGCCTACCTGTAATAATTAGCTAACAGATGACTGGGCCTACCTGTAATAATTAGCTAACAGATGACTGGGCCTACTGTAGGCCTACATGTAATAGCTAACAGATGACTGGGCCTACTGTAGGCCTACCTGTAATAATTAGCTAATAGATGACTGGGCCTACTGTAGGCCTACCTGTAATAATTAGCTAACAGATGACTGGGCCTACTGTAGGCCTACCTGTAATAATTAGCTAACAGATGACTGGGCCTACTGTAGGCCTACCTGTAATAATTAGCTAACAGATGACTGGGCCTACTTTAGGCCTACATGTAATAGCTAACAGATGACTGGGCCTACTGTAGGTCTACCTGTAATAATTAGTTAACAGATGAATGGGCCTACTGTAGGCCTACATGTAATAGCTAACAGATGACTGGGCCTACTTTAGGCCTACATGTAATAGCTAACAGATGACTGGGCCTACTGTAGGTCTACCTGTAATAATTAGTTAACAGATGACTGGGCCTACTGTAGGCCTACATGTAATAGCTAACAGATGACTGGGCCTACTGTAGGCCTACCTGAAATCTTTATTTGGCCACCAATCTGCCAATCAGTCTATTGTTGCTACATGTTAGCCAGATAAAACAAAAGCCACTCGACGACTGTCCCAATGATATCTCAAGGGCTGGAACCTACGTCTGTCGTTTGTAATTACTTTTATCTCTCTAGCAAGTCTCAAGCTACTGTCCTACACCCCACCCCAATGTTCCCTCTAAGGACCAAGAGTGTGTGTGCAAAAAATATGTTGTGTGCGCGGTGCTAAAAATGACTTGGGCAAGTTAATATGTATTTTTAGTCTTGCAATTAAGCATAATAATGAAGGCATGCATTTTGATAAATTAATAGTATAATTTGTGTGACTAATGAAACGTATGCAATTAAATGGAGATACGAATACCATCAAAATTAAAAAAAAAACAACTAATAAAAACTTTCAGAGTTATACTTAGACAACAAGTTATATGGTCGACTTACTATGTTAAAGTAACACAGTCATATAGTAATAATGCTAATACCATAACGGTTATACAAACACAATAGTTTAACATATGCAACATTTAATAAAGCTGACTTAAAAACAAATATTAGCTAACCTTTCAGGGGCTTTTATTGCAATTTCTCTCGCGTCTAACCTTGCCTTGCTTCCACACCTTATATGCTTTGTTTAAATCCACATCCTCTCCAGCATTGAGATATAATTTAATTTGCATTAGATTCTCCAAATGTGTGGCTTCAAGTCTATTTCGTGCTTGCACTTTTATTATGTTAATAAGGCTAAAACCTTGTTTGTAATCAGCACTGCATGCTTGGAGGGTACAATAATGTCACTTAACTTTGCAAGTGAGCTAAATTTTGTTCTTTGTTTTGACAAATCTTGCATATTCAGACATATAATTTACAGAAACAGATTTGAGTTTTTTCACTTTATCGAAATTTGGAGTTGTTGTATTGGGTGGTAATTAACTGATCATTTGTTGTACGTAACCGGTCTTTGTACTTTACGCACAGTTCTTTGATATCTTTGACGCCAAACTCAAATGCACATTTTTTTTAAACCTGTAGCATAAAAAAAGATGACAAAAACTGCAGTTCATCTCCTGGAAACCTAACATTTTAATGGTCGCAGACTGATTGTATGTACTGTGTGGTTTGCCTTGTGTCGATTCTTTCGTTTAACTCACACTTTTCTTGGTTTTAATGTTCAGTGTAGTGCTGTGTTACGGCTGTCTCCAGAGCTGAGGCATCACTTACAGTAAGCTGAGTTATTCCACTAAAAACGGTTTTGTAGAATACAGAATAGACTGGACAAAATTTAAAATAAAGGATAAGCATTTTATGTACTGTTATGCCATCAACTATAAGCGTGTGGAATGATGCTGCTCGAAGTTCTGTCAGTATGTTCTTTACAACAACTTCGTTGATTACGTGAACAAACTCAAAGGCGTATTTCTTACTTCGCCAACTGTCTGGTATAGAAACATACTTCCCCATGTGGTTATGAATCAGTTGTACCGACAGCATCGAGGCGTTCATCCTTATGGTAAAAAGAACATTATCCGTTAGGATTCGAACTTGATCCTCGTTTGACCGCTGGCGCTCGTTTTGCTCAATTAGTTCTCCTCGCTCAGTGTAAGTTTCAACCAGCAGACGTTTAAGGTCAGTTCCATGTGAGCGGTTGTACGAAATCGCAACATTTCCTATGTAAACACGAGCCAATAAATGACGTTTACAGTAATCAAGCGCCCATAATTCCCAGAGCTTTCCTGTGACCAATTCGTTGCTCTTGTTGGATTTGTTACAAGTAGTAGCAGGACAGAACTTACACTTCAGTCCAATCTCATCTGAATATTCGAAGATGCTTTCTAATTTAACCGAAACATTCTTTGATCTGGTGTATCGGTTGTTACTTTAACTTTGAGCCATTCCAGTTTAAACGAATCTATCGCTTTTTTTTGGTGCCACATTGTTGTACTGCTTGTTACACACATTTTTCTTTTCAACATTTTCAAATAGCACAGAGTAGTAAACTTTTATTCCTTATTTACCAAACCAGTTTGTTATCACTGAAACAGTTCGATCCAGGTGCACGCAATAATCCCAAGAATTGGATATATAGTGTATAAATCCTTAAACCAAACAGAGTAAAAACACATCCACCTTTAGTAAAGTAGATTTTGCATCTGACTTGGGTAAACCGTCTTAGTATCAGGAGGTGGGTGGTGGTTGGGAGATGGGGGAGGGCAGTGACAATAGAAAATAAAACCTTGCATGGTCAGCTAGTAGCCGCAATCGCTTTCCGCTACGGTCAGTAAACCATTAAATCAAACAGAGGGAGGGTCAGCCAGATATCACATCGGAACCCGCCCCGCTCAATTAAGAGTTAAGTCATTAACTGGACCTGTGGTATGACAACCGAGGTCACCCCCTCACCCAAGTCAATGATACCCCTTGGTTTCTGTTTATGCCCCAAAACACAAAGACTGTTCGTTTAACAAAACAGACACTAAAAATGTCGCTTAATTCAAACCAATGGCCACAATTTTTCTAGTGAATTAGGCTCGTCCGACGTTCTGATAATCTGTGCGCGGGGTCAGAAAATGTCTGCGCGGCACATTTGAAAGTACTGCGCGGCCGCGCAGCCGCGCAGCTTAGAGGGAACACTGCCCCACCCCCTGCACACACAGATACACAGATACACACAGACACACAGAGACACACGCAGACACACACAGACACACAGAAAAACACACAGAAACATATAGCAACTTGCTGTGGTGTGGTACTGTCAGATTTTGTTGTTTTTTTTTCTGTGCTACCATTGACACACCGACACATATAGACACACACCGACACAAATAGACACACATTGACACATATAGACACATTAAAATATATGGACACACGTGTTAACAAATGGACAAAAAATTGTCATACCTAGACAGTCACAAATAGAGACACATGTGAACACACATTGACATTTATATTGACACTAGAACACACACGGATACAAACACACACATGGACGGACACACACACGGACACACACACGGACACACACACGGACACACACACGGACACACACACGGACACACACACACACTGACACACACACGGACACACACACACGGACACACACACACGGACACACACACGGACACGGTGTGTACCTTAGATGACCAGACAGATATGGAACCTTTCTGTGAACAACAGATGTAGGCGTCAAGCGGGGGGCAGAACTTGACACCCTGTATGACGTCACGCCTGGCTCTGTCGCCTGGGGATCCAGTGGGGGGGGGGGAGGGGGAGGCTGTTATTGATTACACGAAGTCATTGATGCGTGCTACCTATGTGTGTCAGTTTAATGAAGCTAACGAACAACTCAATCAAATCTTGGTCGCTAATTAGGACAATCAACATGTTTCCAGTGTGCCCAAGTACAATGTCCATGTGACGTCATCGTACCCAGCAGACGTGCAGGTGTATTTTAATTGTCGCTAGAGATTTGATTGGCGGGCCAACAACCAGTTAACACGTGTAAGTGCTAGGTTAGGTGTGTTGCTACAAATTGACTTAAGTACTACCTCAGATCTAATCAAACCTAACACAGCCATACCATCCCAGCCATACCATCCCAGCCATACCATCCCAGCCATACCGTCCCAGCCATACCATCCCAGCCATACCATCACAGCCATACCATCCCAGCCATACCATCACAGCCATACCATCCCAGCCATACCATCACAGCCATACCATCACAGCCATACCATCACATTTAAACCATCACAGCCATACCACCACAGCCATACCATCACAGCCATACCATCACAGCCATACCACCACAGCCATACCATCACAGCCATACCATCACATTTAAACCATCACAGCCATACCATCCCAGCCATACCATCCCAGCCATACCATCACAGCCATACCATCACAGCCATACCATCACATTTAAACCATCACAGCCATACCACCACAGCCATACCATCACAGCCATACCATCACAGCCATACCACCACAGCCATAGCACCACAGCCATACCATCACAGCCATACCATCACAGCCATACCATAGCTACTACCTGACGCCTCGCCGACCTTCCGTCTCCCTGAGATGAGAAAGACTTCCACCTCTTCACCGACAGTCGCCTCCCCCTGGCTGGCTGAGGTGTCGAACCCGAACAGCTGGGGAGGTAGGTGGAGTAGAGTATGTCGTGTCATCATCTCGGACACAGAGAGACACACACGACCACACCCCCCCCCCCCACACACACCCAGAGAGTAGAAGAGTTCCTACCTCACTCCAGTCCACCCTGGCTGAGGGGTTGGTCGAGATCTTGCGATAGATGGACTTGAGGTCTTTCTTCTGGACATCCCGGCCAAACAATGTCAGGATCTTCTCGCAGAACTTGTCGAACTGGAGGTTTTCTGGGGGAGTACAGAGGGCAAGGGTCAGGGGTCATGGGTCAGAGGTCATGGGTCAGAGGTCATGGGTCAGAGGTCAATGGTCAGAGGTCATGGGTCACGGGTTGGTCATTGGGTGGTCATTGGGTGGTCATTGGGTGGTCATTGGTTGGTCATTGGTTGGTCATTGGTTGGTCATTGGTTGGTCATTGGTTGGTCATTGGTTGGTCATTGGTTGGTCATTGGTTGGTCATTGGTTGGTCATTGGTTGGTCATTGGTTGGTCATTGGTTGGTCATTGGTTGGTCATTGGTTGGTCATTGGTTGGTCATTGGTTGGTCATTGGTTGGTCATTGGTTGGTCATTGGTTGGTCATTGGTTGGTCATTGGTTGGTCATTGGTTGGTCATCGGCTGGTTGGCTGATATAATACCTAATGATGAATATCATGGCTAATGTCGAATAAAGGTTTTGGCATAACATTTTACTTATCAGCCGCCGTATTTGATTAAAGAAACACTCTTATAAAACTAGTGACAACATGACGTCAGAGAGCGAATCATATTTACCCACAATCCACAACATATTTACCCACAATCCACAACATATTTACCCACAATCCACAACATATTTACCCACAATCCACAACATATTTACCCACAATCCACAACATATTTACCCACAATCCACAACATATTTACCCACAATCCACAACATATTTACCCACAATCCACAACATATTTACCCACAATCCACAACATATTTACCCACAATCCACAACATATTTACCCACAATCCACAACATATTTACTCACAATCCACAACATATTTACCCACAATCCATTGCCTTTTCTCCTCCAATGACGTCAGGCCGGTCTGTTCTGTGATGCCTTTAATGAAGTTCTCAAACTCGTCCAACTTCTTCTGGAAACTGACGTTGGTGTATGGGCGACCTTCACCTTGCCTCGATGCCATCCTGGCTAGCTAATCGGCAGCCAATGACGTCACATGCTGGACAACTAACAGGAGCGTGTGTGTGTGTGGTGTGTCAGTGTGTGTCTGTGTGTAGCAGATTGTGCGCATGTGTCAGTGTATGAGGTATGTATATGTGTCAGTGTATGAGGTATGTATATGTGTCAGTGGATGAGGTATGTATATGTGTCAGTGTATGAGGTATGTATATGTGTCAGTGTATGAGGTATGTATATGTGTCAACCCGTTTAAGTGGCCTATAACACAAATGGACCAAGGCTAAGTTGGCCTATAACACAAATGGCCTAAGGCTAAGTTGGCCTACAACACAAGTGGCCCAAGTCCAAGTTGGCCTACAACACAAATGGCCCAAGTCTAAGTTGGCCTACAACACAAATGGCCCAAGTCTAAGTTGGCCTACAACACAAATGGCCCAAGTCTAAGTTGGCCTACAACACAAATGGCCCAAGTCTAAGTTGGCCTACAACACAAATGGCCCTAAGTCTGAAAGTTCCACACACCAGCCGACTGAGTGCCACATGAAATCCTAGATGAACGCGAGACTGGAGCCTCCACGAGTAATCTGTGGCACCACGATAATCCACCGGATTAGTCTATCTGCTGCAACACACCATTTGGTGGTGCAGGAACAGCACACCATTTAACGGCGCGGACAAGTCGGTCTCATGCTGACAAAAGACCGATATTTTAAACGGTTTTAAATCTGCGGGGTCAACAGACTTCGCTCCCCTGTTATTGTGTGACTTGTGTCAAATATCAATGGGACGGTTCGATTATTTGTTCAATGGGACGATTCGATTAGTTGTTCAATGGCCAATTGATTGGGAAATAATGACAAGTGTTAAGTGTTTGTAGCACTACCTAACTTGAATGTTTATCGTGCGATCTGCATGGTAGGTGTAGCAATAGCTACATGTTGTGTGTAGCAATAGCTACAAGTTGGGTGTAGCAATAGCTACATGTTGTGTGTAGCAATAGCTACATGTTGGGTGTAGCAATAGCTACATGTTGGGTGTAGCAATAGCTACATGTTGGGTGTAGCAATAGCTACATGTTGGGTGTAGCAATAGCTACATGTTGCGTGTAGCAATAGCTACATGTTGCGTGTAGCAATAGTTACATGTTGGGTGTAGCAATAGCTACATGTTGTATGTAGCAATAGCTACATGTTGGTGTATCAATAGCTACATGTTGCGTGTAGCAATAGCTACATGTTGCGTGTAGCAATAGCTACATGTTGGGTGTAGCAATAGCTACATGTTGTATGTAGCAATAGCTACATGTTGCGTGTAGCAATAGTTACATGTTGGGTGTAGCAATAGCTACATGTTGCGTGTAGCAATAGCTACATGTTGCGTGTAGCAATAGCTACATGTTGGGTGTAGCAATAGCCTGATGTTGGGTGTAGCAATAGCTACATGTTGCGTGTAGCAATAGCTACAAGTTGGGTGTAGCAATAGCTACAAGTTGGATGTAGCAATAGCTACATGTTGTGTGTAGCAATAGCTACATGTTGCGTGTAGCAATAGCTACAAGTTGGGTGTAGCAATAGCTACAAGTTGGGTGTAGCAATAGCTACAAGTTGGGTGTAGCAATAGCTACAAGTTGGGTGTAGCAATAGCTACAAGTTGGGTGTAGCAATAGCTACAAGTTGGGTGTATCACGCACTCTACAGTCACACGTCCCTAGACAAGTTCGCCTGGTGAAAAAAAAATGAAGTTACTTGATCCATTATTTGAAGCTGAACTTGTTTGCTACTTGATCCATTATTTGCAGCTGAACTTGTTTGCTACTTGATCCATTATTTGAAGCTGAACTTGTTTGCTACACGATCCATTATTTGCAGCTGAACTTGTTTGCTACTTGATCCATTATTTGCAGCTGAACTTGTTTGCTACACGATCCATTATTTGCAGCTGAACTTGTTTGCTACTTGATTCATTATTTGCAGCTGAACTTGTTTGCTACATGATCCATTATTTGAAGCTGAACTTGTTTGCTACTTGATCCATTATTTGCAGCTGAACTTGTTTGCTACTTGATCCATTATTTGCAGCTGAACTTGTTTGCTACTTGATCCATTATTTGCAGCTGAACTTGTTTGCTACTTGATCCATTATTTGCAGCTGAACTTGTTTGCTACATGATCTATTATTTGCAGCTGAACTTGTTTGCTACTTGATCCATTATTTGCAGCTGAACTTGTTTGCTACTTGATCCATTATTTGCAGCTGAACTTGTTTGCTACTTGATCCATTATTTGAAGCTGAACTTGTTTGCTGCTTGATCCATTATTTGCAGCTGAACTTGTTTGCTACTTGATCCATTATTTGCAGCTGAACTTGTTTGCTACTTGATCCATTATTTGAAGCTGAACTTGTTTGCTACTTGATCTATTATTTGCAGCTGAACTTGTTTGCTACTTGATCCATTATTTGCAGCTGAACTTGTTTGCTACTTGATCCATTATTTGAAGCTGAACTTGTTTGCTACATGATCCATTATTTGCAGCTGAACTTGTTTGCTACATGATCCATTATTTGCAGCTGAACTTGTTTGCTACTTGATCCATTATTTGAAGCTGAACTTGTTTGCTACTTGATCCATTATTTGCAGCTGAACTTGTTTGCTACTTGATCCATTATTTGCAGCTGAACTTGTTTGCTACACGATCCATTATTTGCAGCTGAACTTGTTTGCTACTTGATTCATTATTTGCAGCTGAACTTGTTTGCTACATGATCCATTATTTGCAGCTGAACTTGTTTGCTACATGATCCATTATTTGCAGCTGAACTTGTTTGCTACATGATCCATTATTTGAAGCTGAACTTGTTTGCTACTTGATCCATTATTTGCAGCTGAACTTGTTTGCTACTTGATCCATTATTTGCAGCTGAACTTGTTTGCTACTTGATCCATTATTTGCAGCTGAACTTGTTTGCTACTTGATCCATTATTTGCAGCTGAACTTGTTTGCTACTTGATCCATTATTTGAAGCTGAACTTGTTTGCTACTTGATCCATTATTTGCAGCTGAACTTGTTTGCTACTTGATCCATTATTTGCAGCTGAACTTGTTTGCTACTTGATCCATTATTTGAAGCTGAACTTGTTTGCTACATGATCCATTATTTGCAGCTGAACTTGTTTGCTACTTGATCCATTATTTGCAGCTGAACTTGTTTGCTACTTGATCCATTATTTGAAGCTGAACTTGTTTGCTACTTGATCCATTATTTGCAGCTGAACTTGTTTGCTACTTGATCCATTATTTGCAGCTGAACTTGTTTGCTACTTGATCCATTATTTGAAGCTGAACTTGTTTGCTACATGATCCATTATTTGCAGCTGAACTTGTTTGCTACATGATCCATTATTTGCAGCTGAACTTGTTTGCTACTTGATCCATTATTTGAAGCTGAACTTGTTTGCTACTTGATCCATTATTTGCAGCTGAACTTGTTTGCTACTTGATCCATTATTTGCAGCTGAACTTGTTTGCTACTTGATCCATTATTTGCAGCTGAACTTGTTTGCTACTTGATCCATTATTTGCAGCTGAACTTGTTTGCTACTTGATCCATTATTTGCAGCTGAACTTGTTTGCTACACGATCCATTATTTGCAGCTGAACTTGTTTGCTACTTGATCCATTATTTGCAGCTGAACTTGTTTGCTACACGATCCATTATTTGAAGCTGAACTTGTTTGCTACTTGATCCATTATTTGCAGCTGAACTTGTTTGCTACTTGATCCATTATTTGCAGCTGAACTTGTTTGCTACTTGATCCATTATTTGCAGCTGAACTTGTTTGCTACTTGATCCATTATTTGCAGCTGAACTTGTTTGCTACTTGATCCATTATTTGCAGCTGAACTTGTTTGCTACTTGATCCATTATTTGCAGCTGAACTTGTTTGCTACTTGATCCATTATTTGCAGCTGAACTTGTTTGCTACTTGATCCATTATTTGCAGCTGAACTTGTTTGCTACATGATCCATTATTTGCAGCTGAACTTGTTTGCTACTTGATCCATTATTTGCAGCTGAACTTGTTTGCTACTTGATCCATTATTCGCAGCTGAACTTGTTTGCTACTTGATCCATTATTTGAAGCTGAACTTGTTTGCTACTTGATCCATTATTTGCAGCTGAACTTGTTTGCTACTTGATCCATTATTTGCAGCTGAACTTGTTTGCTACTTGATCCATTATTTGCAGCTGAACTTGTTTGCTACACGATCCATTATTTGAAGCTGAACTTGTTTGCTACTTGATCCATTATTTGAAGCTGAACTTGTTTGCTACACGATCCATTATTTGCAGCTGATTTTGTTTGCTACACGATCCATTATTTGAAGCTGAACTTGTTTGCTACTTGATCCATTATTTGAAGCTGAACTTGTTTGCTACACGATCCATTATTTGCAGCTGAACTTGTTTGCTACACGATCCATTATTTGAAGCTGAACTTGTTTGCTAGTTGATCCATTATTTGAAGCTGAACTTGTTTGCTACATGATCCATTATTTGAAGCTGAACTTGTTTGCTACACGATCCATTATTTGAAGCTGAACTTGTTTGCTACTTGATCCATTATTTGACACAACAACCTCCTCTTAATGATTGCCAGACAGATGAGAGTATCACGTGATTATCAAACAATGCACACACTTTTCTAGGGGTAATTAATAAGAGAAAACACTTCGGTTGTTTGTTTACTTTTAACAAGTGTTTATTCTGGAATCATATCACGTGATCAACTCAAGGGAAACATCACAATAGTCACGTCATCTGCTTATAGTTGACATCAAATGACACGTGATGGGGACATTACATTACACTAAATATGACATTCAAAGACTAGACACGACATTTAAAGATTATATATGACATTAAGAGAATAGAGATGACATTAGTAGACTAGATATGAAATTAGTCGACTAGACATGACATTTGACAGTTTAGTAATGGAGACAATGTTAAAATTTTAAAATCAATGATCTGATTGGTCAGTTAAATTTCTATCTGCTGGTCTAGGTCACGTGGACAAGAAGGTGACCTTGGCTCACATCGCTGTAGGTCAGGGTCGTAGACGAGCTTGCTGGTGAACCTTTGACCCGAGGCATTGACGTACCAGCCAAATGGGCAGTCCCTGGGGAGGTCAAGGTCAGTTGACATTGGTTGGTCATTAGTTGGTCATTGGTTGGTCATTAGTTGGTCATTGGGGTAACACGACACAGAGTGGACATGATATGACACACTTAGTGGACATTAGCGATACTTAGTTAACACGGCATGTCACACTTAGATACGACGGTGAACGGAAAAAGTCACAGGGAAATATAACAGAAAAAAAGTCACAGGGAAATATAACAGAAAAAAGTCACAGAAAAAAAGACACACAGGAAAAATTTTATCGGAAAAAAAGTCAAAGAAATAAAGTCACAGAAAAAAAAGTCACCAAAATCCTATAATAAATATTTTGATTTAATTATTTAATTTTAGAGAATTTAATACAGTAAGTGTTTTTTTTTTTTTTTTTTTTTTTTTTTTTTTTGTAGCATAATCATAAACTTTAAAAGCATTATGGTTTATAACAATAAGTAAAAATACTATAAAATATTTACATAACTTCCTCTTTTGTTACGTATTTAGTTGAATACTCGGTAGAAAAAAAATATAAAAGAAATGCAGGGACATCAATGTGTTTTGCATTCTGGTTGCCATAGGCCTTTCCTTGGTCGGCTTCTCCTCAGTCGGCCTTAACGTCCATTTTATGTGTTGTTGACGTTTCGCGTCAATGACATCATTTGTGCAGTGTCCGCTGTTTGTTTTGATCCCATGCTTTGTTATGTAATGAGCATGATAAATGTGAGCACGAAAGGAGGTTGAACTATTGTTGCTATGAGTTAAGGACAGCAAGTCACACAAACTAAGCCTCTAAGCCATTTCACGCTAATTTAAATTTAGTTTTTAAAAAACAGGATGAAAACCGAAAAGGTTGGAAGATTATATTAAATAATATAAGTATAACGGAATTAAAACCTACATACTTTATACTAAATATTTTTACTTGTGTCATACATACCTATACAACATACGCACATATATCTAAAATCTTTACATAACCTTTGAATCGTAAGTTGATTTGCGCTTTCTGAATATTAAAAACATAAAAGTATTGAATTCTATACAAATACTTATTTGTGACTTTTTTTCCTGTGACTTTTTTTCCTGTGACTTTTTTTCCTACAATCAGTCACGACACACTTTGACAAGAGACACTAAGTGGACACGATAAAGTGAAAACATCGCGATAGACTTAGTGGACACAGCACGACACAGTGTGGACATATCACGACACACCACGACACACCACGACACACCACGACACACCACGACACACTTAATGGACACAGCACGACACATTGTGGACAAGCCACGACACACTTAATGGACACACAACGACACACTTAATGGACACACCACGACACACTTAATGGACACACCACGACACACTTAATGGACACACCACGACACAGTGTGGACACACCACAACACACTTTGTGGACACAGCACGACACAGTGTGGACACACCACGACACACTGCTAGCAGTACCTTAACGTGAGCGAGTCAAACGAACAGCTGAGGTAAATGCCGAGAGAGCACTCAGGGGGGCAGGCGGGGTAGTCGCCATCAGGTAAGTTCTGGCAGCTGGGCTGACCAGTGGACAGACACAGGTAGGTGGCTGTGGACAGGTGGACACATTGACGTCATACCAGCTGGTGTTGCGTTATACCGGCTAGATTACTTATGAATTTAAAACGATTGACAGAGGCACATCTAAACCCCCTCTTAGACTGATTGTTAAACACAACGTTTCATTATGATAAGCATAATTTATTTACAGAAATTTTTTAAAAACTTGTAATTAACTGTTTAAAGCGAAACAAAGTTGACACATAAGACAAGATTTAGAGGAGCGCAAGAAATATCAGGGACACACACAGCTAGCTGGTACAACATAGACACACACAGCTAGCTGGTACAACATAGAGACACACAGCTAGCTGGTACAACATAGACACACACAGCTAGCTGGTACAACATAGAGACACACAGCTAGCTGGTACAACATAGAGACACACAGCTAGCTGGTACAACACAGACACACATAGCTAGCTGGTACAACACAGACACACATAGCTAGCTGGTACAACATAGACACACATAGCTAGGTTGTACAACACAGACACACATAGCTAGCTGGTACAACACAGACACACATAGCTAGCTGGTACAACACAGACACACATAGCTAGCTGGTACAACATAGACACACATAGCTAGCTGGTACAACACAGACACACATAGCTAGCTGATAAAACATAGACACATATAGCTAACTGATACAACATAGACACACATAGCTAGCTGATAAAACATATACACATATAGCTAACTGATACAACATAGACACACATAGCTAACTGATACAACATAGACACACATAGCTAGCTGGTACAACATAGATACACATAGCTAGCTGGTACAACATAGACACACATGGCTAGCTGGTACAACATATCTAGCTGGTACAACATAGCTAGCTGGTACAACATAGACACACATGGCTAGCTGGTACAACATAGCTAGCTGGTACAACATAGCTAGCTGGTACAACATAGACACACATGGCTAGCTGGTACAACATAGCTAGCTGGTACAACATAGACACACATAGCTAGCTGGTACACACATAGACACACATAACTAGCTGGTACAACATAGCTAGCTGGTACAACATAGCTAGCTGGTACAACATAGACACACATGGCTAGCTGGTACAACATAGCTAGCTGGTACAACATAGACACACATAGCTAGCTGGTACACACATAGACACACATAACTAGCTGGTACAACATAGCTAGCTGGTACAACACAGACACACATAGCTAGCTGGTACTCACATAGCTAGCTGGTACAACATAGATACACATAGCTAGCTGGTACAACATAGACACACATGGCTAGCTGGTACAACATATCTAGCTGGTACAACATAGCTAGCTGGTACAACATAGACACACATGGCTAGCTGGTACAACATAGCTAGCTGGTACAACATAGCTAGCTGGTACAACATAGACACACATGGCTAGCTGGTACAACATAGCTAGCTGGTACAACATAGACACACATAGCTAGCTGGTACACACATAGACACACATAACTAGCTGGTACAACATAGCTAGCTGGTACAACATAGCTAGCTGGTACAACATAGACACACATGGCTAGCTGGTACAACATAGCTAGCTGGTACAACATAGACACACATAGCTAGCTGGTACACACATAGACACACATAACTAGCTGGTACAACATAGCTAGCTGGTACAACACAGACACACATAGCTAGCTGGTACTCACATAGCTAGCTGGTACAACATAGACACACATAGCTAACTGGTACACATAGACACATATAGCTAGCTGATACAACATAGACACACATAGCTAGCTGGTACAACATAGACACACATAGCTAGCTAGTCCCACACTTGTAGAACGTCAATACGTACTGTTCTCACACTGCTCTGTGCTGGTGTTGTAGAGCTGACTAGGACCACACTGACACGTCATCACACCAGACACGTCCTGACACAGGAAGTTACTGGCGCAGACGTCAACACAGGGCTGGCCGTATCCTGGGCCTGGGGACACAGGCACACGTCATCTCGACATGCTAGGACAGCTGTATGTTACGTCACACCACTAGTGTGGGGACAACTGTATGTTACGTCACACCCAGAGTTTCTTCCAAGCATCTTTTCGTAAGGGCGAAGACCCCCCCCCCCCCCCGAAGAAATTCTAGCGTCCTCCCCCGAACAAAATGGAATTTATATAGAAAATATATATATTTAACAGTGTCCGCCCCCTCCCCCCGAAGAAAGTCTACCGCCCCCTCCCCCGAAAATTTCAAATACCCCCCCCCCCCCCGGAGAAAAAAGTCTGGAAGAAACACTGGTCCCACCACCAGGCGCTGGGAATCTGTTGTCTCAACTGACAACTTGTTACATGGTCCAAGAATTGGGACATGCCTTATACGAATAGGACGAATACAACTCAAAAATGATTTTGGTATAATTTAGATGGGGGGTGGGGTAATGGTATTTTTTAACTATCATTTTTATAAGCTCATAGGCGGGGGGGGGGGGTTGGGGGGGGGGGGGGGGTTGGGGGCGGTTGGGGGGGGGGGGTTGAGGGGAGGGTGAGGGGGGTGGGAGCGGGGATGGTAAACGTGTTAAAGTTGGGTGACTTCATCTGGAAGATCCATGGTAAGTGTTTTTTGTCGTAAAAGTAGCACAGTAGTTAGGGCTGTTGTCAATGGTTTTTGTCAGTGTTTGTTGGTTGTTGTCAGTTTTTTGTTGTCAGTTGTTGTTGGCTGTTGTCAGTGGTTTTTGTCAGTGGTTGTTGTCAGTGGTTGTTGCCTATTGTCAGTGGTCGTTGCCTATTGTCAGTGTTTGTAGGCTGTTGTCAACTATCCCCTTATTTCATTAGCTCTCAGAATTGAGTCGACAGAGTTATGAAGACACAGAAGGGACTGGTCGAGGGCATTTCAAATTACAAAACAATGTGAAAAATTTCAAACTAAAACTCGTTTCATCAACAAAAATTAAATAAAAAACTAAACTAGACTAGACAACACATACATGCTGACATACATGCTCAGTAATGCTGACATACATTCTGACATACACGCTGCAGAGTTTCTTCCAGGCATCTCTTCGGGAGGGGGAGGCGAAGCCCCCCCCCCCCCCCAAAAAATTTTTACCGCCCCCCCCCCGAAATTTTTTTACCGCCCCCCCCCCCCCGAACGAAATGAAATTTATATAATTTATATAGAAAATATATACTTTTAACAGTGTCCGCCCCCCCCCCCCCCCCCCCCGAAGAAAGTCTACCGCCCCCCCCCCACCCCCGCCCGAAAATTTCAAGTGCCCCCCGGAGAAAAAAGTCAGGAAGAAACACTGACACGCTGACACTCTAGACATGCAAAAAACTTGACGCAACAGAAAAAAACAACAAGACTTGACTGTTGACACATTGTCCAAGACGCTGGTCAAAGTTCTGGCACGGCAGACACAGACAGGCCCATCCTCCCCGCCCGTCCCTCTGGCACTCGGCACCGTCCAGACACGAACTGCTGCACGTGCACGGTTCTCCGTACCGCCGGGCTGGAAGAAAACTGGACATGATTGCGTCATAGACAGACATACGGCCTACACATCACTACGTCATAGACATACGGCCCACACATCAATACGTCATAGACAGACATACGGCATAGACATCACTACGTCATAGACAGACATACGCATAGACATCACTACGTCATAGACATACGGCCCACACATCACTACGTCATAGACAGACATACGGCATAGACATCACTACGTCATAGACAGACATACGCATAGACATCACTAAGTCATAGACATACGGCCCACTTTTACTACGTCACAGACAGACATACGGCATAGACATCACTACAGGATCACGTCATAGACAGAAGTTGTGGATTTGACCGTCGCTATTCAACTCTCACATAAATGACACATTGCAGAATGACCCCACTCTCCCGGTATATGTGTCTCACTTAACTGCATGTATATGTGTCTCACTTAGTTGCATGTATATGTGTCTCACTTAGCTGCATGTATATGTGTCTCACTTAGCTGCATGTATATGTCTCACTTAGCGCTGCATGTATATGTGTCTCACTTAGCGCTGCATGTATATGTGTCTCACTTAGCACTGCATGTATATGTGGTCGGGTTGATATGTGCTGGTAAAAGAACGTGTTGGTGCCCATAGAACGTGTTGGTGCCCATAGAACGTGTTGGTGCCCATAGACCGTGTTGGTGCCCATAGACCGTGTTGGTGCCCATAGACCGTGTTGGTGCCCATAGACCGTGTTGGTGCCCATAGAACGTGTTGGTGCCCATAGACCGTGTTGGTGCCCATAGACCGTGTTGGTGCCCATAGAACGTGTTGGTGCCCATAGACCGTGTTGGTGCCCATAGACCGTGTTGGTGCCCATAGAACGTACACCAAGCACTCACATATCTGATGGACAGACTTGACTTACAGGTCACGTTGACACAACCGCTGGCCGCCACACACAGACACAGGAGCTTGATGAAGACTGTGGTCTAAGGGAGATAATAGAGGAAATTGTCAGGCAGTTTAATTTAGACGCAGTTGTCTTAGCATTGTGTTGTGTGTTCTGTTGCTCTAGTAACTACAGTCTAGTTTGTTAACGTAAAATAGTACAACGTAAATATGAAATCATAAAAGAATCTTTAAAAACTCATTGAGACCTGTGTAAAATTTGATCAAATTTTAAAACGTGTTGGATAAAAAAACACATCATAAAATTATGTTATCTGTCATCATCTGTCTGTCATCATCTGTCTGTCATTCATCATAAATAGCCCACAACATGAGATTAAGGTTTAGAAAATGCCAGATTTCAACAAAAGAAATCTTACCGTCATTCTGCTCATTGACTGAAGTTGACTGCTGACTGAAGTTGACTGAGGTCTGAAGTTGACTGCTGAATGAATTTGACTGTTGATTGAAGGTTTATAACCTAGCGAGTTTAGAGTTGATACCAAGTCTTATGACGGGTGTGATGGTGTAGAGTGGAGTGGAGTGGTGTGGTGTGGAGTGGTGCTACACGCCACCAACCAGACTTTTATACACCCCGTTGTTACAGCCCGGCTGGGGGTTACAGGTGAGAAAATAGTTCCTTGCTCAGTGGCAGCTCAACATACCCCAACGGCAATTTACATAATTATCTGAGACAAATAACATAATTGTGTGCTCCCCTTACCCGCTGTCTACCCCGCCCACACCACAAACCCCACCCCCCACACCCCACACCCCAACAAATCTAGGTGTTTACATCCTGTTTGTCGCGAATGGACCTAATTGCGAACAGGAAAATAAATAGTTTTTGACGTGAAATTTTTGGCAGCCATGAATATTCGAATATTGACAAACTAAATAGGAATTTTATAAACAATATTTGCGAGTTAATGGAGAAATACAGACTAAAATATAAATAATGTTGACCAACTGAAATATAAAGAATGTTGACAAACTGAAATAGACTGGTGGTCAACTAAAATAGAATGTTGGCCAAATAAAACAGAATATTGGCCAACCGAAACAGAATGTTGGCCAACCAAAATATAATATTTGCCAACTAAAATATAATGATGGCCAATTAAACAGAATGTTGGCCAACCAAAATAGAATATCGGCCAAATAAAACAGAATATTGGCCAACCGAAATATAATGTTGGCCAACTAAAACAGAATGTTGGCCAACAAAAACAGAATGTTGGCCAACCAAAACAGAATATTGGCCAACCGAAATATAATGTTGGCCAACTAAAACAGAATGTTGGCCAACCAAAACAGAATGTTGGCCAACCAAAACAGAATATTTGCCAACTAAAACAGAATGTTGGCCAACCAAAATATAATGTTGGCCAACCAAAACAGAATGTTGGCCAACAAAAATTGAATGTTGGCCAACTAAAATAGAATGTTGGCAAACTAAAAAAGAATGTTGGCAAACTAAAATAGAATGTTGGCCAACCAAAAAAGAATGCTGGCCAATCATAATAGAATGTTGGCCAGCCAAAATAGAATGGAATAGAATAAAAACGCAAAGTTCCACCACCACCAAGAACAACACACCCCCACCCCTCACCCCACGTACACTTTCCTATTATTCTAAAACATTAAGAAGGACCCCCCCCCCTCCAGGTTAACAATCAGATAAATATGTATGTTTTGATGGTTTATATATAGATTCTCTCCACCAGTGAATTACCCTGCATTTCTTGTAGCGGCAATAAAACATGCCAGGTTGTATATCAGCGGTTAAATCTCGGTCAAACTTCGATGGGGGTAGGGTTGGGGGATGAAACGGAGGGACACCTAACATGACATTCATGGCAGTCATTTGACATGGAAATCATGCGGGACGGGGGGAGGTAATAAAAAATCAGGGTGTTTGGGGGGTGTGTTGACAGTGTGGGGACAGTGTGGGGACAGTGTGGGGACAGTGTGTTGACAGTGTGGGGACAGTGTGGGGACAGTGTGTTGACAGTGTGGGGACAGTGTGTTGATAGTGTGGGGACAGTGTGGGGACAGTGTGTTGACAGTGTGGGGACAGTGTGTTGACAGTGTGGGGACAGTGTGGGGACAGTGTGGGGACAGTGTGTTGACAGTGTGGGGACAGTGTGTTGACAGTGTGTTGACAGTGTGGGGACAGTGTGGGGACAGTGTGTTGACAGTGTGGGCACAGTGTGGGGACAGTGTGGGGACAGTGTGGGGACAGTGTGTTGACAGTGTGGGGACAGTGTGTTGACAGTGTGGGGACAGTGTGGGGACAGTGTGTTGACAGTGTGGGGACAGTGTGGGGACAGTGTGGGGACAGTGTGGGGACAGTGTGTTGACAGTGTGGGGACAGTGTGTTGACAGTGTGGGGACAGTGTGGGGACAGTGTGTTGACAGTGTGGGGACAGTGTGGGGACAGTGTGTTGACAGTGTGGGGACAGTGTGGGGACAGTGTGGGGACAGTGTGTTGACAGTGTGGGGACAGTGTGTTGATAGTGTGGGGACAGTGTGGGGACAGTGTGGGGACAGTGTGTTGACAGTGTGGGGACAGTGTGTTGACAGTTTGAGGACAGTGTGGGGACAGTGTGTTGACAGTGTGTTGACAGTGTGGGGACAGTGTGGGGACAGTGTGTTGACAGTGTGTTGACAGTGTGGGGACAGTGTGGGGACAGTGTGGGGACAGTGTGTTGACAGTGTGGGGACAGTGTGGGGACAGTGTGGGGACAGTGTGGGGACAGTGTGTTGACAGTGTGTTGACAGTGTGGGGACAGTGTGGGGACAGTGTGGGGACAGTGTGGGGACAGTGTGGGGACAGTGTGGGGACAGTGTGGGGACAGTGTGGGGACAGTGTGGGGACAGTGTGGGGACAGTGTGTTGACAGTGTGGGGACAGTGTGGGGACAGTGTGGGGACAGTGTGGGGACAGTGTGTTGACAGTGTGTTGACAGTGTGGGGACAGTGTGGGGACAGTGTGGGGACAGTGTGGGGACAGTGTGGGGACAGTGTGGGGACAGTGTGGGGACAGTGTGTTGACAGTGTGGGGACAGTGTGGGGACAGAGTGGGGACAGTGTGGGGACAGTGTGGGGACAGTGTGTTGACAGTGTGTTGACAGTGTGGGGACAGTGTGGGGACAGTGTGGGGACAGTGTGGGGACAGTGTGGGGACAGTGTGGGGACAGTGTGGGGACAGTGTGGGGACAGTGTGGGGACAGTGTGGGGACAGTGTGGGGACAGTGTGGGGACAGTGTGGGGACAGTGTGGGGACAGTGTGGTGAGTTTGGTGCAAACATATTTCTGTCATCAGTGCCTAATGACATCAATTTTACTGCCATGTCAACGTTATTAGGGTCAAGGTCATGAGCAAGTGCTTTGTTTTTCTCTAGCAGCGAGTCTTGAACCACGACAAACAAACAAACAAACACACCATTAACCACACTTGAGCTACAGCTGTTTACATCAAATGTTTTTAAACTCCGTTTTAGAAAGTTTTCGGTTAATAAAATTTAAATATGTGGCATAATATGCCAGCCTCACACACACAAATATCAGCGCCTCTCTCACACAATCTCTCTCACACAATCTCTCTCACACAATCTCTCACACACAATCTCTCTCACACAACCTCTCTCACACAATCTCACACAATCTCTCTCACACAATCTCTCTCACACAATCTCTCTCACACAATCTCTCACACACAATCTCTCACACACAATCTCACACAATCTCTCTCACACAATCTCTCTCACACAATCTCTCTCACACAATCTTTCACACTCGTAAATTATCCCAGAGCTTCTAGACTATCTGACTCCACTAGAACTTGTACACTATATGACTCCACTAGAACTTGTACACTATATGACTCCACTAGAACTTGTACACTATATGACTCCACTAGAACGTGTACACTTTATGACTCCACTAAGACAGAGCTTGTAGCCTGTTTGACTCCACTGGAGCTTGACTCAGCAAACCTACTGACGCTATTTACCATTTCTGTAAGCCCCACATTCAAGTCACGATTAAAGACTCGACTGAAGGTTTGTCTCTTCTTAGGGCAAATGTTTTTCTTTCGCCCCACCCCTCGTCTCTGCCCCACCCGTCGTCTCTGCCCTACCCCCACCCCTAGCCCCACCCCCACCCCTGTCTTCCTCCAGCCAGTAAATCGGTCTGTTAATCCTCTTCTGTCAACGCGAGGCACTTGGCGCTCCTACAATAGCATCGCCTGGCAGCAGCCCCACATCCGATGAATACTGATTCGGTCTTAGACTGGGCTAATGTCCAGTCGTTGGGCTAGTCAAGTCTAGACCAGGGAGCTCAACTCTGTCTGGGCTAATGGGCTAAACTGGGCTATTCAGCTACATTCTGTTAGCGCTAGCAAGCTTACTCTGTAGGAGCTAAACTCTGGACTGTTGAGCTAAACTCTGGACTCTAAACTCTGGACTCTAAACTGGACTGTTGAGCTAAACTCTGGACTGTTGAGCTAAACTCTGGACTGTTGAGCTAAACTCTGGACTGTTGAGCTAAACTCTGGAATATTGAGCTACTCTGGACTGTTGAGCTAAACTCTGGACTGTTGAGCTAAACTCTGGACTCTAAACTCTGGACTCTAAACTCTGGACTCTAAACTCTGGACTGTTGAGCTAAACTCTGGACTGTTGAGCTAAACTCTGGACTGTTGAGCTAAACTCTGGACTGTTGAGCTAAACTCTGGACTCTAAACTCTGGACTCTAAACTCTGGACTGTTGAGCTAAACTCTGGACTGTTGAGCTAAACTCTGGACTGTTGAGCTAAACTCTGGACTCTAAACTCTGGACTCTAAACTCTGGACTGTTGAGCTAAACTCTGGACTGTTGAGCTAAACTCTGGACTGTTGAGCTAAACTCTGGACTGTTGAGCTAAACTCTGGACTGTTGAGCTAAACTCTGGACTGTTGAGCTAAACTCTGGACTGTTGAGCTAAACTCTGGACTGTTGAGCTAAACTCTGGACTCTAAACTCTGGACTCTAAACTCTGGACTCTAAACTCTGGACTGTTGAGCTAAACTCTGGACTGTTGAGCTAAACTCTGGACTGTTGAGCTAAACTCTGGACTCTAAACTCTGGACTCTAAACTCTGGACTGTTGAGCTAAACTCTGGACTGTTGAGCTAAACTCTGGACTGTTGAGCTAAACTCTGGACTCTAAACTCTGGACTCTAAACTCTGGACTGTTGAGCTAAACTCTGGACTGTTGAGCTAAACTCTGGACTGTTGAGCTAAACTCTGGACTGTTGAGCTAAACTCTGGACTGTTGAGCTAAACTCTGGACTGTTGAGCTAAACTCTGGACTGTTGAGCTAAACTCTGGACTCTAAACTCTGGACTCTAAACTCTGGACTCTAAACTCTGGACTGTTGAGCTAAACTCTGGACTGTTGAGCTAAACTCTGGACTGTTGAGCTAAACTCTGGACTCTAAACTCTGGACTCTAAACTCTGGACTCTAAACTGGACTGTTGAGCTAAACTCTGGACTGTTGAGCTAAACTCTGGACTGTTGAGCTAAACTCTGGACTGTTGAGCTAAACTCTGGAATATTGAGCTACTCTGGACTGTTGAGCTAAACTCTGGAC